GAGCCGTAAAACTAAGACAATCACTGGATCAGCGTGAGCAGTCTAAGCGTCTGCTGCGAAAACAGTATGGATAGTAACTCTGAAGACCTGATGATGATGGTTGTTTTCAGGAATGGACAATCCTGACTACTCGACGTAGTGAGTTAAAACACGGTGTTTTGTTTGCTATAATTCGACTTTTTTATGTAAGTAGTGAGAATAAGAAATTAAAATATACATAAATCAGTTAAAATACCGATGACCGTGAAAGGACATGGACAGCCAGCTCTGACCTCCGTCTCTTCACGTCTTTTTGTCGTCAGTTAATGACTCCAGGACCACCAGCCCTTGCCTAGTGAGACGTTCAGCAGAAGTTCTACGTAGCCTAGTTCTGCTGACTTCAATATTTTTGGTATGATACCTGTGTCGCAACACTCCGATTCGCGGCGAATCGAAGTGTTGTTAAATTAAAAATAAACGCGTACTGAATTATTTCAGTAAGCATGTTTCTTTAATATTGCCGTCGACTGATTTTCCCTTAGTGTGCGCGTTCGTCGTGTCTTTCGTGGTATTGCTTGTGCTATTGGAGATACAATCACTCACCGCAATTTCTATTAGTCTTGTTCGTTGCAGAGGTGGCTGCTCCACTGCGTGTCTGTTTGCGATGTTTTTTAGTAACTTTCTGTTGTCCGCATTTAGCGCTTTAATAACAGTTACACAGCCATTGGCGTAACTGGTACTAGTAGTACTTCAGTCAGTGTTACTTATACCATAACAGTTAGTAAAGTAGTAGTGGTCATGTCGGTAATAGTAGTAGTAGTTGTAGTGTTACCAAGAGTTCCCTATGACAGCAGAATCACTGCTGACATTCACCCATAGCAGAAGTATCTGATGATGGATTCGAGTGAGAATCCGAAACGTCAGGCAAATAAACTTCTTGTCCCAGTGATCGCATCTTCATCTTCAGTACTAGGTTTGTATTTCCCCGGGTGTATTCGATCCACTGACTGCAGTAGCATTTGTTCGGACACCGGCAGTAGTCCTAGTATCCAGCCTTATTTCAGCAGACTTATTGAGGTTATTCTGCTTTTTGGTGACCTACTAGTACCGGTAATTACTGCTGTCGCGCCACATGCTAGAATAGTAGAATTTAGAATAGTTTCCGTACTATTGGCTGCCGTCAAGTTAGTATTTAGATATGTAGCATTTCCGTTGTAGTCGTTGCAATGGTCGTAATATCAATGGCATTACTAATAGTACTAGGAACAGCGTTATTAGTAATTGAAGTAGAAGTTCTGATAGTGGTAGTAACACTCTAGACAAATCAGTTCCGGTGAATAACGTGGCAGTTGACACTAATGCATTAAAAATAAGTCAGGTTCCATTACCTGCTATAGTACCAAAACCTGCCAAATCATCGAACAATAAAGTTGGGAAAGCCAGGATGACCCTCAGAAGATCTGTTAGGAACTACAAGGACTCGCCGTTATTCTTGGAAGGCAATGCTGTTACTCCACTTCTTCACAAGGCTAACTCATCTGGAAAGTGTCCTAACCATTCCGTTTATGGAAAAGGACACGATAAGCCTTCGTGCAGTACATTGCAACAGGGTAATGATTGTAAGAGCTCCACTGCCGAAGCAAGTACGTCACATGGAAATCCATGCCCTAAACTCCCTTCGCCGGCCGAAAATCAGTCAAATGTCGAAGTGACAACAGCCGTCGGGAATACTACAGTAGCATTATATCGTCCTAGCGCGGACGGGACAGTAATGAGCTCTTCCCTAAAGCGTAAGCAAAATATTGTCATAAAGGGAGCCCCAGAGTCCACATCCTGCATTCCGAAAGAACGAGTGACGCACGACCTAGACCTTCTCCATCAGTACGCCAGTGCCGTCCTGCAGGATGGGGAAATATTCACCGTTAAAAAAGCTTTCCGACTAGGCAGAGCGGACCCAAATCGTGACCTAGAAAAATCCCCAAGACCCCTGAAAGTTATTTTGGAAAACGAAGCCCAAGCAGCGCTTTTGTTAGAAAGTAGAACGACCTTACGCAATTCGCACAAGGAAGTGTTTTTTCAACCAGACTACGAACCGAGGGAAAGACTGAAAATGAGAGAACTGAGATCAGAATTGAAGGAGAGAATTGGCAAAGGAGAGAAAGGGCTGAAGATCAAAAATGGACAAATAGTCCAAACAAAGGGGTCTTTCCTGTGGTCAGAACCCGTCACAATGAAGGCCGGGCCTCTCCAACAAATCAGTCATTGAAGGTTATATCCGCAAATGTGCAAAGCCTCTTTAACAAACTAGATGAACTAAGAGACTTAGTTGATGAAATTAACCCAGACATTATGGCATTCACAGAAACGTGGCTTACTGAAGATATCGCAGATTCAGAAATATCACTTAGAGGATATCAGCAATTCAGGAGAGATAGACTAAGCCGAGGAGGAGGAGTCATAATTTATGTCACTTGCAAGCTAAG